CAAGCACACCTCAATCACCAAGCACACCAGGATCACCAAGCACACCTGGTTCACCTAGCACACCTGGATCACCAAGCACACCAGGATCACCAAGCACACCAGGATCACCAAGCACTCCTGGATCACCAAGCACACCTCAATCACCAAGCACACCAGAATCACCAAGCACACCTGGATCACCAAGCACACCTAGATCACCAAGTACACCAGAATCACCAAGCACACCAAGATCTCCAAGCACACCTGGATCACCAAGCACACCAGGATCACCAAGCACACCAGCATCACCAGGCACACCTAGATCACCAAGCACACCAGGATCACCAAGCACTCCTGGATCATCAAGCACACCTAGATCACCAAGCACACCTAGATCACCAAGCACACCAGGTTCACCAAGCACACTAGGATCACCAAGCACACCTGGATCACCAAGCACACCTGTTTCACCTAGCACACCTGGATCACCAAGCACACCAGGATCACCAAGCACTCCTGGATCACCAAGCACACCTGGATCACCAAGCACACCTAGATCACCAAGCACACCAGGATCACCAAGTACACCAGGATCACCAAGCACACCAGGATCACCTAGCACACCAGGATCACCAAGCACACCAGGATCACCAAGCACACCTGGATCACCAAGCACACCAGGATCACCAAGTACTCCTGGATCACCAAGCACACCTGGATCTCCAAGCACACCTGCATCACCAAGTACACCAGGATCACCAAGCACACCTGGATCACCAAGCACACCAGGATCACCAAGCACACCAGGATCACCAAGCACACCTAGATCACCTAGCACACCTGGATCACCAAGCACACCTGGATCACCAAGCACACCTAGATCACCAAGCACACCTAGATCACCAAGCACTCCTCAATCACCAAGCACACCAGAATCACCAAGCACACCTGGATCACCAAGCACACCTAGATCACCAAGCACACCTAGATCACCAAGCACACCAGGATCACCTAGCACACCTAGATCACCAAGCACACCAGGATCACCAAGCACACCAGGATCACCAAGCACACCTGGATCACCAAGTACTCCTGGATCACCAAGCACACCTGGATCTCCAAGCACACCTGCATCACCAAGTACACCAGGATCACCAAGCACACCTGGATCACCAAGCACACCTGGATCACCAAGCACACCTGAATCACCAAGCACACCAGGATCACCAAGCACACCAGGATCACCAAGCACACCTAGATCACCTAGCACACCTGGATCACCAAGCACACCTGGATCACCAAGCACACCAGAATCACCAAGCACACCTAGATCACCAAGCACTCCTGGATCACCAAGCACACCTGGTTCACCTAGCACACCTGCATCACCAAGCACACCAGGATCACCAAGCACACCTGCATCACCAAGCACACCTGGATCACCAAGCACACCTAGATCACCAAGCACTTCTGGATCACCAAGCACACCTGGATCACCAAGCACACCTAGATCACCAAGTACACCTAGATCACCAAGCACACCTCAATCACCAAGCACACCTCAATCACCAAGCACACCAGGATCACCAAGTACACCTGGATCACCAAGCACACCTCAATCACCAAGCACACCAGGATCACCAAGCACACCAGGATCACAAAGCACACCTGGTTCACCAAGTACACCTAGATCACCAAGCACACCTGGATCACCAAGCACACCTGGATCACCAAGCACACCAGGATCACCAAGCACTCCAGGATCACCAAGCACACCAGGATCACCAAGCACACCTGAATCACCAAGTACACCTAGATCACCAAGCACACCTGGTTCACCTAGCACACCTGCATCACCAAGCACACCTGGATCACCTAGCACACCTGGATCACCAAGCACACCTGGATCACCAAGCACACCTGGATCACCAAGCACACCTAGATCACCAAGCACACCTCAATCACCAAGCACACCAGAATCACCAAGCAAACCAAGATCTCCTAGCACACCTGGATCACCAAGCACACAAGAATCACCAAGCACACCAGGATCACCAAGCACACCTAGATCTCCAAGCACACCTGGATCACCAAGCACACCAGGATCTCCTAGCACACCTGGATCACCAAGCACACCTGGATCACCAAGCACACCTAGATCACCAAGCACCCCTGGATCACCAAGCACACCAGGATCACCAAGCACACCAGGATCACCAAGCACACCAGGATCTCCAAGCACACCTCTGTCACCAAGCACACCAGGATCACCAAGCACACAAGGATCACCAAGCACACCAGGATCACCAAGCACACAAGGATCACCAAGCACACCTGGATCACCAAGCACACCTGGATCACCAAGCACACCAGGATCACCAAGCACACCTGGATCACCAAGTACACCTAGATCACCAAGCACACCTCAATCACCAAGCACACCAGGATCACCAAGCACACCTGGTTCACCTAGCACACCTGGATCACCAAGCACACCAGGATCACCAAGCACACCAGGATCACCAAGCACTCCTGGTTCACCAAGCACACCTCAATCACCAAGCACACCAGAATCACCAAGCACACCTGGATCACCAAGCACACCTAGATCACCAAGTACACCAGAATCACCAAGCACACCAAGATCTCCAAGCACACCTGGATCACCAAGCACACCAGGATCACCAAGCACACCAGCATCACCAAGCACACCTAGATCACCAAGCACACCAGGATCACCAAGCACTCCTGGATCATCAAGCACACCTAGATCACCAAGCACACCTAGATCACCAAGCACACCAGGTTCACCAAGCACACTAGGATCACCAAGCACACCTGGATCACCAAGCACACCTGTTTCACCTAGCACACCTGGATCACCAAGCACACCAGGATCACCAAGCACTCCTGGATCACCAAGCACACCTGGATCACCAAGCACACCTAGATCACCAAGCACACCAGGATCACCAAGTACACCAGGATCACCAAGCACACCAGGATCACCTAGCACACCAGGATCACCAAGCACACCAGGATCACCAAGCACACCTGGATCACCAAGCACACCAGGATCACCAAGTACTCCTGGATCACCAAGCACACCTGGATCTCCAAGCACACCTGCATCACCAAGTACACCAGGATCACCAAGCACACCTGGATCACCAAGCACACCAGGATCACCAAGCACACCAGGATCACCAAGCACACCTAGATCACCTAGCACACCTGGATCACCAAGCACACCTGGATCACCAAGCACACCAGAATCACCAAGCACACCTAGATCACCAAGCACACCTAGATCACCAAGCACTCCTCAATCACCAAGCACACCAGAATCACCAAGCACACCTGGATCACCAAGCACACCTAGATCACCAAGCACACCTAGATCACCAAGCACACCAGGATCACCTAGCACATCAGGATCACCAAGCACACCTGTGTCACCAAGCACACCTAGATCACCAAGCACACCAGAATCACCAAGCACACCTGGATCACCAAGCACACCTAGATCACCAAGCACACCTAGATCACCAAGCTCACCAGGATCACCAAGCACACCAGGATCACCAAGCACACCTGGATCACCAAGCACACCTCAATCACCAAGCACACCAGGATCACCTAGCACACCAGGATCACCAAGCACACCAGGATCACCAAGCACACCAGGATCACCAAGCACACCTGGATCTCCAAGCACACCTGGATCACCAAGCACACCTCAATCACCAAGCACACCAGGATCACCTAGCACACCTGGATCACCAAGCACACCAGGATCACCAAGCACACCAGGATCACCAAGCACACCTGGATCTCCAAGCACACCTGGATCACCAAGCACACCTGGATCACCAAGTACTCCTGGATCACCAAGCACACCTGGATCACCAAGCACACCAGGATCACCAAGCACACCAGGATCACCAAGCACACCTGGATCACCAAGCACACCTAGTTCACCTAGCACACCTGGATCACCTAGCACACCTGGATCACCAAGCACACCAGGATCACCAAGCACACCAGGATCACCAAGCACACCTGGATCACCAAGCACACCAGGATCACCAAGCACACCTGGATCACCAATCACACCTAGATCACCAAGCACACCTGGATCACCAAGCACACCTGGATCACCAAGCACACCTCAATCACCAAGCACACCTCAATCACCAAGCACACCAGAATCACCAAGCACACCTGGATCACCAAGCACACCTAGATCACCAAGCACTCCTGGAACACCAAGCACACCTGGATCACCAAGCACACCTCAATCACCAAGTACACCTGAATCACCAAGCACACCAAGATCCCCAAGCACACCAGAGACAATATCAACTCCATTATTCTCCAGCACCACTGTTACACCTCATGTTAGTGGACCTGCAGGAACAACACCAAGTAAGAAATGTTTTTGTTTTTACTATAATTTTTTGAGAAATAAATACTTCTATTTGTAAGACCTGTCAGTGTGGGTACTTAATCTTATTCCTAACGGTACTAAAGAATGGGGCATGATAGAATAGTGTAGGCATGTTAAATCCATGGTGGTTAACCTTATTCCTTGTTAAAATGAAATCAAAAGATGATTAACTTCTAGTAAATCATATTACATTAAAAATGTGGAACTAAAATTTAAAATTTTCTAAAATAGTTAAAAATACCTTTCTACAATTCTACAATTAGGAAAAAAAACTAAAAATACACTACATTTAGAAAAATAAAACGACAAAACAACTTAGATGACTACAACATAAAAAAAATAACTCCAAGTCTACATAAACTAGAACCTTTAAGTGATTGGTGAGAAGACCTAATTTAATAATAACTTACAAGTAGTTCAACCAGAAAGGTTTTAAATACACATTCTCCCCTGAGGTCTCACAAAGATATCCCCTAGAATTGGTAAGTTGACCAAAATGACATTCCATTTAACACAGTTACAAATATTCATTAAAAGGGACATGAATTGATATGCGAACGATCATATCACCATGTGGTCTGGAACTACAGCAGTCATGACTACTCGTGTGTTGTAAACTTTAGTCACATGGACAAAATTAGCCCATGCTAATAAAAACATACACAAAAAATGAATTTTCTTTACCAGGACCATGGGAATACCATACAGAAATTAAAACATTTCACTCAGGCCTTGACTTCCCCTCAGAAAGTGCCTTCCTGTTCCATACACCATGTTCACAAACAAAAAAATAATAATAATCTGGCTCTAAGTCAAAGTAAACTCACACCACATATTCTGCATGGGAAATAATTCCTAACAGATACAGTATTATTTGAGACCATCCAATAATACAAACTTAAAATAAATAATATTATCAAAACATACACAAACCAGTATTAAAAAGTGAAATCAAAATAATGCTTGCACCATAATATAGTACTGTGAAAAAAAAAACTTAAAAGGCACTTTCACTTTTTAGCTAACCAAAATAATAATAATGAAATTAAATAACTCCCTAGCCAGTTACATGTGAAAGTCTTTTTACTTTTTATTTGAAGATTTGCCTTGCATTACTTTTATACTCATTTTGCTTGTTTACATTTTAGCTTCAACAAAGTGTGATTTTGAGAGGGGTTACGTGCCTTCCAATGCCAGTTATGAGCTTGTTCATAAATATCCTGAAGGAAGTCCAACACTTAACCTAATCAAACTGTCTGATGCTCATGAATATGTTGGTAGAATATTTACTGTATCCAATGAAAGTGTGGATGTATTTATTCTAAGTCCAGTATATCTAACAGACAATGAGGTACATTAATTATAATACATTATTTTTTAAATGAAATTCAATTAGTATTTATTTTATTAGTTTATTTCAGTGTGTTGCTGAAAATCAAATTAATTATCATAAATGGTCCATGTGAGTCTTTTTTTCTGTGGCATATTACCTTAGCTACACTTATCCAACAGATCCAATAATGGAATAATTCCTTTTGGCTGCATCATTTAATAAAGCCTATGTATAACAATGTAAAATTAAACCACCTGGTCAATATCTAAAGATCACTATGGTAGATGAAGCACTGTGTTTTTTTGAGTTCTGGAAATTGAAGTTAGGGGTTGTCCATAAATGATGGTGTGTGATTTCATTAAATTATTAAAATACTATGTTGACCTGTTTCAGACAAGATTTTGGAAAAAATATCGATGTTTTAAGAAAAATTCTACTGCAATTTTGAGGGGGGGTTGTAGGCTGTGGTGTGATCTTATTTTAGGGGCGTCTGGTTTTTTGTGACGATGTGTGACGGAGGGTGGGGGAGGTAAAAATCGTCAAATAAAACATGACATAATTTATGGATGACCCCTTATAACACAGCATAGCTTTTTTTAAAAAAAACAAGTGCCTTCAAAAAAAGAAAATTCATCCCTTGAAATTTTAGTATTTTACTTTTATAAAAGAATTAAGTTATTTTTGACAAGTTTTAAAGGACTCTGTAATTGGTCTTTAAGCTTTCCTGAAGTCTATATGAATATATATAGTGTATCAAACACAGAACGGCATATTATTTTTTCATGTTCAGTGTTCTACAGTGTATTTCACACTATGTTATTTATGAGATAGCATAGTTTTCACGCATACTAACCAAGTATTTCTGAATGATAGGTTTCCTAATGTTTATATCTATATATATATATATATTTCAGCTAAGTACCCTACAATTCGAAAAACAATTTAAGTTCAATGAGACCTACCAAATGTAACAACAATCTTTAATTTTTTTTTTGTAAAAACATTTTTTTTCAGACTGTAATTGGTGATGGTACACAAAAAGCTGTTCTCTTCACTATTGGTAATATTGATTTAATATAATATATTTATTATGTTTAATTGAAGAATTGTATAGTTACTTTTTAATCTGTAAATATCTCTAGTAAAGAATATAATTATATTTAAGTATTTACATAAAGCTATTAGTATTAACTTAAGTTTGTTCAATGAATTCAAATTGAATATTTTCAGCTAAAGATCTTCAGAGTGAAAACATTTTTGGTAAGACAAATTTTGGATATGATTTTTCAATCACTTATCTAAAATACACACCATTTTTGATGTTCATTAAATAATTTTCTCTAAAATGTTGTGTTATTTTAGATATTTAAATGATTTTATTCTTCTTGTAAAATTTTATGAAATAACATATTTTTATGTCTGTAGGAATAAAAGCTGTTAATTAATTATTGAGCTGTTAAAATGACAATTATCATTTCAATTTTATTATATCAATACAGCTTTAAGTGTGGCGTTTAAAATTAATAGACTAGCTTTTTAAAAGTTAAAACAGGAGTGATCTCCAAAAAACTTTCTCTCATATTCTTAAAAAACAGAAAGTGGGATGGCATTTTTAATGCTATTGGACTATAGAAATGTTCTTTAATATTTTTTTTAATACTTACATGTTTTAATTAGAATTGAATCAAGTTGAAAAAATAATTGCACACCAAATGAATGCAAACAATAGATGTATCATATAGCAGAAAATTAGTATGCCTACTTCATAAAAGAATTATTGATTAATTTTCAAAAAGTGCCTTAAACATCTAATTAAGTCATATATTATTATGTCACAGTGCACTGTCATCAAGTCTTGACCTACGTAAAAAGTTTTAAAGATATCAGTCCTGTAAAAGTGATCTTTTTTGAGAAATTAGAAATAGTGTAAAGTACTACTTCCAGTCAACTGAAATTACTCAAAGTTTGACAGCATCAAGAAAATAGGATTTTACATAAATGTATAAACTTTTGACCACATAACTGAAACGGCGCTCAAATTATCGGTGTTTAAGAAACCAGAAAAATAGTAAAGTACCCCTTCTGGTTATAGGAGGTCATTCAAAAATTGATAATAAGCCAGCTATATTATTTTATACTTATATGTGATATTTTGTCTACCACACCGAAACAGTGCTCAATTTATCACATGAAAATAAAGTAAAGTACCAATTCTGTTTACTGAAAATCATTTAAAATTTTATAGTTTTACCATTCTGGAAGGAAGCAAAACATCAAAATTTGTTAAAAATCTTGATTTAATTTTGTATTGCACAATTACAATACATCCTTTATGTTCTGTTTACAACAAAGTAGATGGTGTAAAATGGTGACAAATGTCAAAATATTCGTTAATTATTCAGGATGATTACAATCATACTTCCTCTATACCAGTGTTTCTTCCAGACTTTTTTCTCCGGGGGGGCACTTGAAATTTTCGGGGGGGCGGTAAACTTTCTTCGGGGGGGCGGACACTGTTAAAAGTATATATTTTCTATATAAATTATATAAATTTTATTTCGTTCGGGGGGGCGGTAAAAATTTTTCGGGGGGGGGGGCAAAGCCCCCCCGAAGAGATGCCTGGAAGAAACTCTGCTCTATACTCTGTATAGAGTTAAAAATATGACTCAAATGAATTATATGTCAGAAAATGTTCTAAATTTTTTATAAACATTTGAATCAATACATATTATTCACTTTCGCTCAACTTATTTCTAAATGGTATGCTAATAGTCAGCTAAATACAGATTATTTATCATCAATCTAGTTTCTAATCATGTTAATTATGATTTATTTACATCCCTCCAGTATTTGTTCCTGTGGTCAATTTCAATATTTTATTTAAAAATTTCTTCCATAGGTTGGCTGAATCCACACTATATATTTGAAAAGGACTACAATACTACATTAAAATACAGCTTGGTTGTTTTTAAATCAGAAAAGAATAAAGATTATGGACTCCATAGCATTAATGCTGACTTCCAAAACCTGTTTGATGTTACAGTAAGAGCTTCATTTTTTTAATTATTTTTTATTATTTAACATACATAGACACAACAATAACATAGAACCTGCCTTTAACTGTTAAACGTAATTCTCATATTTTTATAACAGTTAAACATTTGAAACACTTACTTTCTTACTTTCAATTGTAGAAATTAATATTAAAAAAGTTCTAGTTGAAAGCTCAACTAAATCACAAGGAATAACTGTTAAAAAAACATTTAAATCTAAAAAAACAAAATTTGTAGTAATTTTATTGAAATCAGAAAACTAGAAATGCCCACCTAAACTTTGTATATATATATATATATATATATATATATATATATATATATATATATATATATATATATATATATATATATATATATATACATATACATATACATATATACATATATATATACATATATATACATATATATATATATATATATATATATATATATATATATATATATATATATATATATATATATATATATATATATATATATATATATATATATATATATATATATATATATATATATATATATATATATATATATATTTGCAGTCTATACAGCTGCCTACAGAGAAAGACATCAGTCAAGTCACACCTGGTCCTGTATATGTTTTAGCACCATCTAATGTTTCCCTTTCTGTTGAATATTGTGCTGGTAGGTAACAAATTCCATAGACCATATGAGTAAATATAAATCTCCTAGACAAGAACCCCCACCTACCCCTTAAAAAAGCCTCCAAAAATAAATCCACTATTTGAGGCATATATAAGATAATATTTTATAATGCTAAATAATTCACATATTGAGGGAAAAATGCAATGGGTTCTAGGCTGATAATGTATCTTAATTGTTTTTCTACCCAGCTGGAATCAAACATATTTAACAGATAAATGATCATTGACATAAGCATCATTGTTTTAGAATTGTCTTTTGCACAGTATACAGCATCAGACTCATAGTTTCATATAAAGAGGACTATTTTTTTAAAAATATATTTTTACATCCTAAGACTAAGTATCAATTGGCAGAGATTTTTGCCAATCTTTATGAGTAATCCATAATCTAAATTAAACCTAAATAACTGGTACGTAATTATTATAGAATTAAATGCAGATTTAAACACAGCACTTGCACTTTCCTATGAAATTTTATAAAATGATTCACATTAGAGTAGAATAATCAACACATATGTTATGCAATAATTACTGCCCTACTCATCAATTAATGACATCACAAAATTATCCTCACCCTAAACTTAACTTCAAACATCACAAAAATGTGAGAAATCCATGCCATCAAAATGTCATTACAATGTTCTCCCATGTCAAACACACACAAATTCCTTTATATATTTTCACAAAAATGGACTTTGTTTTTATCATTTTTTTTTAACATTTAAATATGAAATTTAAGCTATGCCACAATTTTTTACATGGGACGGCATGGTCATATGGTAGAGCATACAAATGCTAAACCTTAAATCTCCTGTTCAAATCACTTCAAGCCTGAAGGTCTTGAGTTCAGATCTTGATCAGGACTTGGAACTGTAGGATGTCCCTGAGTCCACCCAGCTCTGGCATGTACCTGACTCACATTGGAAAAGTAAAGGCAGTTGGGCATAGTGCTGACCACACCATCCCTTCAAGAAACCAATGAACTCTACTTCATCTGTCTTGCTAATCTTTAGGTCTTAAAAGGGAGCTTTACTTTTTTTTTGTACATTTTTACACTGATACATTGGCTTATACCACATTCTCATATTACATAGCATTTTTGAAAGCCACCACCAGTCCCCCAAATCATTTTAATTAAAATTTAATACCAAATAAACAATGTCTGCAAAAGTGTGTAAACTTTGAATGATACCTGTTTCTACAACTGAGCAAGCATTTTC